TTCCACACCTCCCAGGGATTCCTTGGCGTGTCTGTGTGTGGTTTGATACAAGCAATGTTGGCTCTTCTGTGGGTCAAACAACAGGTCCTTTTTGCTGGTGGTTTGTGCGGTTTTATGGTTGAGGGGGTGGAGGTTTTTAGGTTTTTGGTTTGTTTACGTTTGGGGAGCAGATCTCTGTTATGTTTAGTCAGAGTTGTTGTGGGAGAGCCTGGAAGTTCAGGATGTAAAGCTGGTAGCTTCAGGAGGTGTGTTCCTGGGGCCAGCCCAAAAAGTGGGCTCTGGCCAACTCTGGCTGGACATCCTGGAAGGGCTCTGTCCAGGTGGACGTCCTGGAAGGACTGTGTCCACCTTGATGTGGGGCACTTTCTGGTGGTTCAAACTGACAGGTTGCTCTGTTAACCATACCAGGATTTGGGATCAGTTATGATCCTCTCCAGAGCTGGGACAGAGGAGGTGTTGCAGAGAACTTTCTTGCCAGAGCTGGGTGGTTTCAAAGATCACCCAAGACGTGTGTATATAGTTCCTGGAGAGCCAAGCCCCAGGAAGGTATGTCCTTATAAACCTGAGGGTTTGCCATGATGTTTTTTTTTTTTAATCATGTCATTTGAAAGTCACTTGAATAAATGCTTCCCAAAATAAGCCTCAGGCATCCCTCTGCAACCTCATTGGAGCTGCAAACCTGGTGTGGGGCTTGCTTTGGTCTCATCTCTCAGTGGGGTCTTGTTCAGCACTGGGTTAGGCACACGCAGGGGCACAGCATGTTAAATGTACCTGGATCAGAGTCCAGGATCTTTGTGGCTGTTAACCAAGCACGTGTGTGTGGATCTGTGTGTGGAAGGAGCAGATGGGACTGTGCCTGAAACGTGAGCCCTGCTCTGCTCTGCCTGAGGGGACTGTGCTTGGCTCTCTGTTGGCTTCTGACCCACTCCCGTAGGTATTCCTGTGTTTAATAACATACCTCTCCATGGTTGGGAAGTGGCCCTGGCACGAGGCCAGCAAGGACCTGCCCTACCTGTGTTCTTGGCTGGAGTTTGTCCCCACTGCTGGCTGCCAGAGGTGTCAGGAAGGAGGGGAGCACGCCTGGTTTGGCCTCATTGTGACTGACCCTGGAGTCACCAGGATCCCTGTGGGAAGAGCTCCTTGTAGCCAGGAACAGCCAGAGATGGGCTGGTGGCTCTGAGAAGCTGGTTACTTGTCCCTGGGTGAGAGCCCTGGTGTTTTCCATGTTCCCTTGGGAAATCACAGGATTGTTAGGGTTGGAGGAGACCTCTGCAGATCCCCCAGTCCAACCCTCTTGCAAAGGCAGAGTCACCTGCAGCAGGTGACACAGGAACTCATTTGGAATGGGTTTGGAATGTCTCGAGAGAGAGAGAGGGTCCACACCCTCCCTGAGCAGTTCTTTCTTGTGCTGAGGTGGATTGTGTGCTTGTATCAATGACAGGGAGAGGCAAAACCTTGTTCTCAGAGAGTTTGCATCGGTGTCACCCCCTTATAGCTGTGACATGAGGACCAGGGCAGTGTGGAGTTTTCGTTCTCCCACTGCATTTTTGGGTGTTTATCTCATTTCCATTGGATAAAGCTGTGGCAGTGATTCTTTTCCTCCCTCAAGGCTTGGCTCTGGGGGCTGTGACAGCCTCTTCTTGGTCCCTGTCATCTGTCACCCAGAGCTATGCTCCCCTGGGACTGTGGGACACGGGTCAGGTAGCAAGATTGGCAGGGAAACCAGGAAGATTTTCAAGGGGAATGATGACAAATGAACACTTGCTAGAGTCCCAGCCCTGAGATGCTGGGAGCTGTGACCTGGAAGTGTTTGTGACCGTGTGCTGTTCTTGCTGACAGACGCACCACAGTCAGCCCCGAAGTGCTGGGCTGAGACCTCCTCGTCGGGGCTGATGCTGCAGCTGTTTTGCAGCTGGCCTGGGGGGTACCCCCACCCCACCCTGCACTGGAGAGAAGAGGGGCACGATCTGGAGAACTCCAGCTGGGTCATCAGCTCCACGAGCTCCTCAGACACCCACGTGGAGACACTGAACAGCTCCCACCTCTCCCACCGCAAAGTCTTCAAGTGTGTCGGCAACCATGTGGTCAGGCAGGAGCAGCCTTCGTGCACTGTGGAGATAAGTGAGTTGATTTGCTGCCTCATTAACTTAATTTGCCTGCTAACAGTTGGGCAGGTGGGTACTCCAGTCGTTCCCTGCCCTCTGGAGCACTGAGGTGGTCAGGGAAGCCAGGAGGCAGCATGGCAGGGCTTGGCTTGTGCAGGGGTGACAGCATAAGGCACAGACATCCTGCGGCTGAGATCCATCATGGCATAGTTGCAGGTGAACTGTGTTTTGGGTCCACCTTCAGGGGACTCAAATCTCAGCACAGCAGGGTTTTCACCTGTGGAAAGCTTTTGCACATGCCTGTGTGAAAGTGAGAGCTGGTTTTAGTGCCTTGCTCAGGTTAAGTTCGGTAGGGCGGGGGATACAGAAGGGTCATGTGTGCCCCCAGACTCCTTCAGGCATCTTGGGGATCTGTCTAAAGTGGCTTTTGAAAACCCAGGCTGTATTTATCTCCCAGGGGTTGTCAGGGCTTCACAAGAGCTCTTCTGATCCCAAGGAAACTTCCTGGGCTGCCTTTCTTCTCTCTGCCATCTTCCCTCTGGCTACCCTCAGACCATTCTTCCCTGGGGATATAAAGACAGGTGTCAGAAGGGACTGAGCACCATGGAAGCTGCTCAGGTCACTGCTCAGGAGGCTCCTGAGTGAACTGAATGCTGAACCCACAGTGCTCACCTGCCAGACTCCTGCCTGGCTCCCTTCTGTTAATGATTATTAATCAGTCAGATGGCTGATTGCTTGTTATGTTAATTGCCTCCATTGCCTCCTTGACTCCTGTTTTTCTTTTCTTCTTCCCCTTGGGCTGTTCAGAAATCCCTTCCCTGGAGTCAGAGCCCCCCAAGACCTGCTTTGTGGGTGACAACGTGACCCTGACATGCCGTGTGACCGAGAGCACGCCGGCGGCACGGATCAGCTGGCTGCGGGACATCACCCAGCCAGAGGTGGAGATCCAGCCTGGAGGGAGGTTCCTCATCACCCAGGAGGGCAACGTGTCCCAGCTCACCATCCAGAACTGCTCCCAGGACACCGACGGGGGCTGCTACGTCTGCAAGGCCCAGAACCCCGTGGGGCTGAGGGAGCTCTTCATCTGCCTCACGGTGAAGGGTGAGTGGGGCTGCCGTGGCAGGGAGTCAGGAGGGGGTGGGGACACACCACATTTGCCACTAAGAACCTGCCTTTTGACTTGCACCGGGCATTCTTCATCCATCTGTGTCCTGGTGACAAGCCTGTGTCCCCTCTCCACAGAGCCAGTGAACATTGTTGGGATCGTGGGTGCTGTGGTGGTCCTGTCCCTCCTGGGTATTCTCACCGTCACCGGGGTTGTCTTGTACTACAATCCCCTCCTGTGCCTGAGAGGTAGGGATTGGTTCCTCCTTCCTGGTTTATTCCTAACTTGCCTGTCCCTCCAGGTATTCTGGAGTCAGTCAGGGTTGCATGTGTGGACAGGTCACCTTTGTGTCTGTGCCTTTGTGTGGGGACTGTCCAGTTGCTGGCAGCTCCACATGGAGGCACAGACATGGAGACAGGACTGGCAGGGGTTGTGCAGCCCAGTAAAACCAGTAGCACTGCCCAAGGGGGCTGGTTTCTAACCCTGTCTTTCCCTTCTGTCCCATTCAGGTGCTGCGTTCAGGTGAGTGTTGACATTCCTCAGCCCAGTCCTGCGTGGCCTCACTAGTCCGCCTTCCTGAAGGGCAGGGAACAGGCTCTCCTCAGCCTTTCAGCCCACCTCCACTCGCTCTGCTGTTCCCAGGCATCCAGACTCAGGTGATGTCTTAGTGCTGGTGGACTCCGAAGATGACGAGGAGGGGAAGGGGGATGAGGAGGCCACGAGCAGCAGCGCCAAGCAGGAGGCGATGGCGCTGGTCGATGGGAACAGTGCCCAGGCTGCTTATCTGAACTACCTCATGGAAGGTGAGCCCTGGGGCAGAGCCACCTGCTCCCTGCTAAGCTGTGGGTCTTCCTGGAACATCTGCCAGGGAGGGAGGAGTTCCTGTTGCCTGTTGGCTGTAGCTGAGATGCTGCTGGTCTGTGCCTTGCATAGGTGACAATGGAGAGCTGCACGGCAGGGTCTCTCTACAAGAAGCAAGGGGAGAAGAGACACGAGGCTCATAACTTCCATCCCTCCTCGAGGAAGTACATGGAGCTCCAGCTGGAATCCAGCATCAAGCACGTCCTCATTTGCGTGTGGCTGAGCACAGGCTGTCGGTGTCCTGCGACAGGCCAGTTCAGTCAGAGCCTTCCCACTCCTTTCTCCACTCGCCCCTTCCGCAGTTCCACTCCGTCCTTCCCCAGCCACGTTTCTCTGTTTCTCTTCTCTCTTCTTGTTCCTCTTTGTCTCGGATGTCCTTAAAACAAGGTGACACCCAGCACAGGCAGAGCATGAGAACAGTAACCCACTCACCTTGGTGCCTGTGACGGACTCGAATTCCAGTGTGGGATTCTGGCTCAGTCCCCATGAGCAGTGCTGGGATGGGGAAAGTCACCACAGGGCCACAGTGGTCCCGGGATAAGGGAAGAAACGAGTGTGCAGGCAGGACCTGGCTGATGCTGACTCTGGGGAGGCTGAATTGTTTTTATTATAAATATTTTTTCCCCTATGCTGTCTGAAATGTTGCTCCGTGTCTGAGTCGGGAGTTAATCTGTTCCTTGCGGGGTGGCTTTAAGGGGGATGCCTGGCCATGATGGAAAGCATGGAGGGAACTTATACAGGGAGGGGATGAGGGAAGCAGGATCCACACAGAGGGGATCAAGGGAGTTGTGGGGTGCATGACAGAGGGTTGGGATGTGCAGGAAGGGTGGAGGGACTGGTCCAGTCTGAGCACCCTGTGAGGTAAAAGGAGGGGTGAAAAGGCACAGAGGGGAGCAGGGAGGGATCTGAGTGTGCATGGAGTGGGGGGATCAACACACTCATGGGAACGGCGAAATGGAGCAGGATGGGGTGGGATGGAGGAGCAGAGGATTCTGCAAGAGGGGCAGGAGTAAACTAAAGTGGGGAGTGGTGTGAGAGTGTGTAGAGTGATGGAGGAGGGAGGGAGTGCACACAGGGGGTCTGTGTGTTCAGGTTAATGGAGGGGCATGAGCACTCAGATGGGGATGAAGGGAATGTGATGGCACATGGAGTGGAAGGGAAGCACTCCTGGGGCATGTGGGGAGGGGCAGTGTGGGCACTGGTGAAGTCAGGGGGGCTGAGCCATCCCTGGGATGTTAAAACAGTGTGAACTGATGGGCACAGAGGGGTGGGGACACCTGAGCACTTGGTGGGATGGTGGTTGGAGTCTGGCTGTGCACAAGTGGTCTCTGAAGGGCTGTGGAACCCAAACAGAGAGTTCTGAGGGGCTGGAGCAGGGTCTGAGGGCTGGAGGGAATGGAGTGTAAGCGTGAGGGTGGACTGTGGTTAAAGGGCTGAGGGTGGGACCCACCTGCAGCTGTCCGCAGGCAGCCCTGGTGCATTCCTGGTGCCCAGCACTGAACCCTCACAGCAATGCTCAGAGCCATGCCAGGAAAATCCCAGGGAACTGCAGGAGCCTCCGGCTGCCCCTGGCAACAGTGTTGTGTGCTGCTGCCATCTCCCAGCTCCTCCACAGGCCCCGGGGCGAGGAGGAGCCACCGGCCAAGATGGACTCGGACCTGGAGGAGCAGGACCTGGAGGAGCATTTGTGCGCGGCTTTCCAGGACAAGCTACGGCTGCTGCTGTGAGTGAGACCCCTTTGTCCTCCTGGGGATGGGCAGCTGCTCCCACGGCGGGTGCTGCTGGCTGGAGCAGAGCAAGGGGGGTTGGAAACGGGGCCAGCATGTCCTGCATCCCCGGGGGTCTCAGTTTGTGTTGCTCCTGCCAGAGTGGGTGTCACTGGGTGGGTGCTGTGTCCCTAGGGAGGAGGGCACCCCAGCTGTGGGCTGGGAGGAGGCAGGGGGATTCACCAGGGTCTAACCAGAAAGCTGAGGTTGTGCCGTGGCTTGTCCTTCCCTGGGGGGGCAGCGCTGGCACTGGGGGTCTCCAGGTGAGGGGAGGCTGAAGCAGAAGTGGTGGGCAAGAACCTGAATGCAGGTAGAGATAACCCTGTGGGGTCTCTGCACACACGGGGGGTGGCCAGGCTCTGCAGGCAGCGGTGGTCCATGGGGGTCCTGCCCATGGCAGATGCCCCTGCCCGGGTTCTCTTTTCCCTCCAGCCATGCTGAGCTCCGTGCAGCCCATGGCAAGATGGTGCCAGCGCGGGATGCAGCCACTCTGATGCCCTCCACTCGCGTGCTGCTGAAGAGGCGGGAGGTGGCAGAGGTGGAGCAGGAGCTGCAGAGCCAGCGGGAGGTAAGGGCGGCCCCAGCCTGCTGTGTTCCCCCTCCCCAGGGGTTGTGGCGTGCCCTGGGGACGAGCAGAGAGCCGGCATGTCCCCAGCCGTCCCCGGGCTAGCACCCACCCCTGCCTCGGGTGCGCCAGCACAGCGTGATGCTCTCAGCACCCGGTTGGTCCCGCAGGAGTTTCGGCAGAGGATGGAGCACCTGGCGCAGCGCCGGGAGCAGCTGGCCCAGAGGGAAGAGGAGCTGCGGGATGTCGCCCTCAAATTCGACGCCTTCCTGAAGGTGCCGGGACAGGGACCGGGGCTGGGCTGGCTGTGGGGGCCGCGCTGACCCCGTCCCACCCCACAGGCTGTGGCGGCGAGGCGGGAGAAGAGGGCAGGTGAGGAGCGGGCGTGGGCGGTGGCCCAGGGGGCCGAGGCCGCCCGCCTGCACCGGGAGCTCGAGGGGCTCCTGCAGCACAGGGAGCGCCTGGCCCGGCGCCTGCGGAGCCTCCGCCGCTTCGGGGACTACCTGCGGGACGCGCTGGCCAGCATGGGGCAGGTGAGCCCTGCGGTGCCACTTTGGCGTGTCCCCAAGCCCCTTGTGGCGGGGACCAGCCCTGTCCAGGGCAGCAGCTCCCACAGCCTCTCAGCCCCCCCCTCCCACTGCCCAGTTCCAGGATGTGCCAGACATGCTGGCGCATTTTGGGGTGCTGGCGGAGGCACGGGCAGCCCTGGCACAGGAGGCAGAAGCTGGGCAGGAACGGCTGGCCCAGGGCAGGGCACAGCTCCAGCGGTACCAGGAGGAGATGAGCACTGAGCTCCTGAGCACCAACAATGAGCTGGCCCAGCTCCGCACACGCCTGGAGGCCGCCCGCCAAGACGTGCTCCAGTGGGTAAGAGGGGATATGGGGTGACCCAGGACCCCCCACCAAGGGAAAGGGGCAGCAGTACAGATCCCTGGTGTCTGCAGAAGGGAGATGCCCAAAGTGGTGGTGGTATGCTGGGTTCCACCCCCTGGGCTGAGCTGAGGGTCCCCACACATGCCCAGAAAGCAGCAGCTCTGCATGAGGGGATACACAGCCAGGACTCCTGGGTCCCCCATTCTGGCCTGGGGGGTGCAGGAGGACACAGGGAAGTGGTGAGGAGGAGCCAATGCTTTGTTTCTGTCCCCTAGGAGTCCTGCTGGGCCCGTGTCCAGAGCACAGCCACTCAGAAGACCCTGCTGCTGGGGCAGATCAAGCTGGCCGTGCTGAACCTCTTCCAGCTCTCCACTGCATGGCTCAGGATCCCCATGGATGTGGCCCTGGAGGACACCGAGGCCCAGTTGGACATGGTCAGTGCAGCCCTCTTCCCTGGGCAGCAGAGCTGGGGGACACAGGGACATTCATGTGCCCGAATGGCTGTGGCATCAGGCTCCCATCTCTGCAGTTGCTGCTCTGCCTGCGGGACCTGACTGACATCTGTGCCATCAGCAGGCACCCAGTGCGCCACAGGGGTGCCAGGCTGTCTTGGAGCCAGGAATAGCCCCTGGGAACACCTGGCTGCTCCCAGGGCTAGGGAGAGGCTGCCAGGGCCAGTGTGGAGACACAGGACCCCTGGGGATGGAGGTTACTCTCTGACAAGTCTGGGAACTCCACGACGAGAGGCAACGTGGACGGCTGTGGCACAGGCACACTGGAGTGGCACTGCTCTGGGGCAGGAACAGGGAGCTGCTGTTGGTATCTCCAAAGGTGTCTCCCATCAAAATACATCCCAGCTGTGGAGATGCAGGACTCACTTGTTTTAGGACTGCGCCTGGGGGTGGCCTGAGGGAGGAGGAATTACCCCAGGCATCATGCTTGGAGCAAGGTCAGAGAAGAGTCGGGATGCAAAACCAGCCAAGTTTTTACTGTCTCCTTCCCTGATTCCCAGCCCAGGTGCGGGGGGAGTGTTGGGGGCACAGTCCCCTCCCCTACATCCTCTTCCTCAGCTTGCCCTTCTTGGTGGTGCCCGCCCGGCGCCCGAAGGCCATTTGCCGCAGCTCCTGCACCCGCTGCCGGTTCCTGGCCTTGAGGCGCTTCAGGCCCCCGCTCTGCAGGAACCGCTGCTTGGCCGCCTTCTTGCGCTGCTTCAGGATCTGCTGCTTGTTCTTCAGCTCTGAGCGCACCCTGCCCTGGGCTGGGGGCTGTGTGGGCCCTGCAGAGTGACATGGCCACGCTCAGGGCGGGGGACAGAGCCGGGGGGGGTGATGTGAGGCTCGCTCTGGGTACTCACCGTGCCCGCGCCTGTGCTTCCCTCTGAACTGCTCCCTGCTGTGCTGGCCTTCGTCATCCTCATCCCGCTCATCAACCTTGTACTTCTGCTTCCACTTCTCATAGCTGGGACGGGCAGGTTAAGGGAATGTGTGGAGACTTTCCTCACTTGACCTGCTGTGGTGTCTGACTGTTCTCCCTTCCCAGCCCCTGCCCTGGCAGGGGATGGATCCGCAGGAGCAGAGCCCAATACCACGTGGCTGCCAGTGGGTCCAGCCCCACTCCCCCAGCCCCCAGCCCAGGCAGCAGCACCCACAGGCAGGATACAGGTTGTTCTTGTAGGAGCTGCTGATGTAGCGCCCGCTCTCCGTCCGCACCTTCTTCTTGTCCTCCTGGCCTGTCTGCCCCACAAACCGCTTCTTCTTGCGGTCCCTGCGAGAGAGGGGAGTGCGGTGAGACCAGGTGGTGGGACCTGGTGGGACCCCAGCCCTAATTCTGCCCCCAGCCCATGGCCAGACCCCACTCACCACTTGAGCAGCTGCTTGCTCCTGTTGAGGTTGTGGTTCTCGTCGCCCATGAGGTCCAGGACGGCCCCAGCCGCCTGCTGCTCGAAGGCACTGCCCTCGCCGCCCACGCTCAGCCTGCAAGGGGGGTCATGAGAGTGGCCCCTGCACAGGCTGGGACAGGACAGGAGCAGGAGCCCCCCCAAACTCACCCCCGCTCGCTCTCAAAGTCCTTGGGCCGGTATGGGATGTAGAAGTCCTCGACCTGCTGTGCCGGCTGCTGTGGCTTTTTCCTGGGACCATCTTCTCCCCTTTGGCCCCGTTTTCGCTTCTGGCCCACCACATTGGAGAACACGTCCTGCATGGGGACAGTGGAGGGGTTGGGGGAGCCACCACCCCCCCAACATCCCTGCAAGTCTGTGCACCACCCCCAAGCCATGGCACATTTTGGGGGCACAATTTTGCTGCCATCACCGGGCCAAAGCCACTCTGCAGCAGCTCCTGTGTCCATGACCCTGTTACCTGGAGGTCTTCCTGCTCTCCTTCTCCTTCCCCATCCTGGGGCCCAGGCGGGGCAGGGCACTGCCCTTTGAGTGCTGCTGCCCGCTTCTCCTGCTGCCCACGCTGGAACTTCTCGATCAGGGCACTGTCGTGGCGCCGCTTGGACCTCATGACGGTGCTGGCCAGCGTCCGGGATGTGGCGTTGATCTCGAAGATGGTCTGTCCCCCAGGGTGGGAGCATGATTCCCAGTGAGCCACGTGGACCTTCCCTCCCACCCCAACCCAGGCATCTCAACTCACCGCCTTGGACTTGTAGGTTTTAATGCTGTCCACGAACTTCAGCCTCTCCAGCTCAGTGTCTTCGAAGCGAGTGCCTGGGGAAGGCGGGCACGGAGAGGGGCACAGATCAGTTCCCTGGCAAAGGCAACGGGGTCCCCTCCCTTGGCACCCCTGAGGCACTCACTGAAGAGCGGGTGCATGCCCAGCTGGGACACATCCAGGTCCTTGGCCCTCTTGATGGACTCAGGCGAGGGGCCGGGCCGGGAGCGCAGGTATTGCTTCTGGGCGTTGTCGGCGACGCGGCGCAGGCTGCGCAGCTCCAGCGAGCCCTCGTGGTCCGTCAGCAGCAGGCACTCCTCATCATCCACCAGGCTCTGGGGGACACGGCCCAGGACCCCACCAGCGTCTGCAGCACAGGGGACACCGTGTCACCTCCCCAGCACCCACCCTGGATTTATCAGAGCAGCCCCAGGGAGCTCGGCAGTGCTCAATCAGCACCCCCAACACCCCACTTTCTGCATCGCCCCTCTGTGTGAGGGCCAACCATAAGACCACAGACTCCAGCACAGGCCAAGGGTGATGCCCCAGTGGCCCCATGGCCACTGTCCCAGCTTGGCCATGCAGCCACTGCCTTCCTCACCAGCGGGCATCTCCTGGGCTCCGGCGAGGATGAGCGGGCGTCCCAGGAAGAGGTGCAGGTCGAAGACATAGGGCATCTCATCAGGAGCCACCAGTGAGTAGGCAGTGCCACTCCGGCCAGCTCGGGCCACGCGACCTGGCAACGGGAGGAGGAGAGTGGGAAACCAGACCCCGTGCCAGCCCAGCCTGTCCCCACCCAGACAGGGACCCACTGGTGTCCCTGGGAGCCCATGCACGTGACATTTATCAGGTGGGCATGGCTGGGGAAGGGGCAAAAAGGAGCCCACCACAGTGCCATCCTAAAGGGAAGGTGCCAGCTCTGCCCCCAAGAGCTCCCACAGTCCAACTGGGACATCAGGGACACTCCTGACACTGCTTTGTCTCCAGCCTGTCCTCTGTTGTCATGACATGGCGACCTCCTGCCCCAAGCCAGGGACACCGGTGCCAGCTCAGCAGGCCACAAGGATGGGGAAAACAGGGGACAAGGCACAGCCCACTCACACCCTCCCCGTCACCCTGAGGGACCCTCAGGACCCTGTGTGGGGCACTGGCACCCACCGACACGATGCAGAAACAGCTTGGCCTTGGCGGGGAAGCTGAAGTTGATGACGTTGTCCAGCATGGGGATGTCCAGCCCGCGGGCGGCCACGTCGGTGACCAGCAGCACCGGGCACTTGCCCTGGGAGAACTTGGCGATGTTGATCTTGCGGGCGGTCTGGTCCAGAGAGCTGTAGATGTGGGTGCAGCGGATGCCCTGAGCCGTCAGCAGCTGGAGAAGGGGAAGAAGAGAGACGGGATCCCACCTGGGCATGTGCCCTCAGCCAACAGACAGGGCCTGAGGCTCCAGGGTGCCCACTCAGACACCCAAATCCCACTGTGCTCCACCTCTTTGAGGGGCATATGGATGCAGCACCTCCACAGTCACATATGCTGGGATTTCTTCTTCAAGCCACTGAAACAGTGGCAGAAGCTCCAGCAGGGAGCCATATCCATGGCTGAAGACCCCATGTGGGTCTGGAAAGGTATCCTAGGCACCTCCAGGGGTACATTCTGGGCACCTCCAAGTGCCACTTACCTCCTTCAGATACTCCGTGTGGTGCTTGGTGGCCACGAAGACGACGGTCTGGTCCTGGGGCTTCACCACACTGCGGAGCAGGTGGAGCAGCACGGCCGGTTTGTCGTCCCCGCGCACGTGGAAGAACGCCAGCTGTGACGGGAGGGCAGCGCTCACCCCTGTGCCCCACCCTGTGCCAGCCCTGCCACCCTTGCCCCCTCCTCAGGAGCAAGTGGCTTGTAGGAGGTGCGGGCACAAAGCACAAAGCCCATCTCACCTTGAGCTGCTCGCTCAGCTTGGACTCCACATCCAGGCGGATCAGCATCGGCTCGGTGAGGCCTGTGGGATGTGGGACACGCGGGACACGGGTCACACGTGGGATGTGCTACTGGGACCAACCCCACTGAGGGGCTTGGGGACACCAAGCGTTAATCCAGCTCAGTTTTGTCAATGCTGGGCTCAGCCCAGCTGTGGGACCGTGCCGTGTCCCTGTCCCCAGGCTCCCCCAGTGCCACCTGCCCCCTGCTCCTCACCGGCCCGGGCGAACTCGACGAGCAGCTTGGGCAGCGTGGCGGAGAAGAGGACGGTCTGGTGGCAGTCTGGGAGCCGGGCAATGATCTCGTGGAGCTGCTCAGCAAAGCCCATCTCAAAGAGCCTGCAGGGCAGGGGACGTGGGATGTGGCAGGTCCCTCACTGCCACTGCAGGGACACACATGGGGACACTGCCAGCCTCGGGACCCCCCTGTGCCCCACTGACCTGTCAGCCTCGTCGAACACCACGTACTCCACAGTGTGCAGCTTCAGCTTCATCTCCACTGCCACGTGCACCAGGCGCCCGGGGGTGGCGATGATTCTGTGGGGACAGAGGTGGTGACAGGACTGGGGAGGCGACAGTGTCCCCACCCCATGCTGGGAGCAGATCCCAACTCCAACCCAAAGAAGTTCCACAGGAAGATGCTCCAAGGGAACACCAGGACACGTCCCTCAGGTACACTGGCTCTAAACATCAGTGATGTCCCCAGAGAGGAGATATCATTTCCAGGGGCCATTTCCCCACCAGGTCCCCTCCCTGTGCCCCACTCACATGTCCGGGTTCTCGTGCAGGGCAGCAAACTGGTCCTCCATCCTGTGAGAGAGGGGAGAGGCTGGAGAGGCCCAGGGCAGCTCAGCCCGTCACTGGGTTTTGGGGAGGTTTTAGGGAAGCAGGGACCAGTGGGGGACACAGGGACAGCTTACTTGTCTCCTCCCAGGATCAAGGCTGTCTTCAAGCCTGTGAACTTGCCCAGCTTAAGGGTGAGAAAGAAGCATGTTGGAAACCAAACCCATCGCTCCCATTGTCCCCACTTGCCCCTGCTGTCCCCTGTACCTCCTTGGTAAACTTGAGGGTCTGCAGGGCCAGCTCCCGGGTGGGCGAGAGGATGAGGGCACGTGCCCCGGCCTGGCTGGGCGCCTTGAGCCGCTCGAACATGGGGATGAGGAAACAGGCCGTCTTCCCGCTGCCCGTCCGTGCCATCGCCACCACATCCCGGCCGCGCAGGATGGCGGGGATGGTCTGTGACACAGTGCCATCACCGTCACTGCCACTGCCCCCCTGCCACCCCTCGGGGAGGGGACCCACCGCCCCCCACGCTCACCTTCCTCTGGATGGGGGTGGGCACCTTGTAGCCCTTCTTCATGATGCCCTTGAAGACGGGGTAGCTGAGGCCTGAAGGGACAGGTACAGGGACAGGTGAGGGGGCGTGGGCAGGAGGGGACAGTCCCCATCCCAGGGACAGCTGTCCCTTGCCCCATACGCACCCATGGACTGGAAGCCCCCGGATTTCTTCTTCTTCTGGTTCTGGGCCCGAACCATGGCCTGGGTGTCCAGCTCGGCGTCAGCGCCATCGTCCTCCTCGGCAGCGGTAGGGAAGGCGGGCAGGGCGGGCGCGGGGACCTGGGGACACGCCTGTGGGGATGGGTGTCACAGGGCACTGGGGATGGTTGTCACAGGGCACTGCAGCTCTGCATCCAGGGCAAGGACATCCATGCTGGGGACAGGGGGTACCAGGGACACTGGCACTGGGGACATGGCCAAGGGGGACATAGGTAGGTACTGGAGACACTGGTACTGGGGACACTGGCACTAAAGACACTGGCATTAGGGACACAGGTAGGTACTGGGAACATCAGGTACTGGGGACATCGGCACTGGGGACAGCCGTACTGGGGACGCTGGCACACGGCAACTGGCGACACCAGGACGGGGCACAGGGGCACCGGGAACGCTGGTGCCGAGGACGCCAGCATCGGGCGCAGTGGGGACACCGGCCCACGGGGACGGGCACAGCGGTACCGCGGACACCGCACACACCTCGGGGCCCTCCCCGCTCCCCCCGTTCTCCCCGTACCGGCGCTCCCCGGGGCTGGCGGCGGCTGCGCGGCGGCGCCATGTTGGGACCGGCGGCGGAACCACGTGGCGGGGGCGGAAGGGGCCGGGCCGGGGCCGCGGCCATGCGGGCGGGGGGAGCGGCACCGAGACCGGCCCCGGGCGGCGGCTCCGCTCCCGCCGCCGCCCGCCCGCCGCGGGTCCCCCGGGGCCGCCGCCGGGCACGGGCCTCCTTCGTGGACGAGTCGCTGTTCGGGCGCCCCGCGGGGGCCCGCCCGCCGCCGCCCGCCTTCGCACCGCCCTGGGCGGCTCCCCCGGCTCCCGCTGCCGGCGGCCCCCGGCCGAGGAGTCAGTGCAGGTGAGCGGCGGCTCGGGGTGCTCCCCCGCTCCTGCTCCCCACGCCCCCGCAGCCCCCGGTCCTGTTCGCCCCGGCCCCACAGCCCCCGGCCCGCTGTCCCGCATTTCGGGGCTCACTACGCGTGAAGGGGGTCGGTGGCTCCCGGGAGGATCTGGTGGGCGATCTCAGCCTCCCACGGGAGTCTCTCCCCCCACCTCGTGAATCCCTCCCCATCCCGCTCGGGTCCCGGTGATGCCGCTCTAACCAACACGTGTCTCTCCGCTTGTCGCCCCGCCAAGGTCCCGAAGCCACGCTCCGTCCTTCTGCGACGAGTCCCTGTTCGGTGCCAAGCCCCAGGGTGCCGCTTGGGCAGCTCCGTGGATGAGGAAACAAGACATAGCCAAGCTCCATACGCTGCTCTGGAGCCCCCCGCCCGCCCCTCGAAACCAGCCCGGCCTTTCCCCCCGCTCCAGGGGGACACCCCTGAGAGCTTTGCACCCGCCAGCCTCTGCCCCTCCGGCCACAGCGGGCTCAGAGCCCGGCCACAGGGGCAAGTCCGGGGGCTGGAAGTGTCCCGAGAGCAATCCTTGCCCCGAAGGCTGGGGACCTCCTGTCAGAGGACGTTCCCAGTCTGTCAGCCGGCTCAGCGCCCCCTTGGAAAGGCTTCACCTGGCTTCAGACAACCTCGGGACAGAAAAGTGGAAAAACCAGAGTGCTCCGACAACCCCTGCCTCCTCCGGAGGCCCTCTGATGAGGGGCAGGTCCAAAAGCTTGTCCGGACCTCCTGTGGGCAGGAATGGCAAGGCAGCAGGTGGCTGCAAGCCCAGACCACCCTGGAAGTGATGCCAAATGTCCCTCTGGATGTACATAACAGCCCTAGAACTACCTGAGACCTCCCAGTGACCAAGTTTGTGAGGACCCTGCGCTTTTCTGTGGCTGGAAACAAAGGATGGGGCTGTTCCATGCTGGGGGACAAGCCAGGAGCTGGAGGGCAGTGGAGGGCACAACCCCACAGTACCAGAGTGGGGTGGCCTTGGTGGGAACAGCCACTTCCATCGATGTCCAGTTGTCATCAGATGAGGTGTGGTAACGAGTCGGGTTCCTGCTGTCTGCGAAGTCCAGCTGGGAAGTCAGAGAAGCAGGAGACAGGAGTGCCCACAGGGTAGTCCAAGGCCCATCCAGGAGAAGGAGCACGCACAGGTACAGTGACAGCACAGAGCGGTGGGGACAGGCAGGGCTGAGCTCATGGAGCTCCCAAAAGAGGGAGCAGGGGGTGCCACCGGGGTGGGGGTCCCAGGTGAGGCCAGCCAGGGCAGCTGAGGTCTGAGGGTCCCAAAGGGGACCTTTGCTGAGCAATTCTGGGGAGAGGAGTCCTGCTCTGTCCTGCCTGTCATGTGCAATCACAGGATCGCTCGTGGTTGTGGGAATGCAGGCGATCCCTATTTCGACCTCCTGCTTGTGGCAGGTGAGCTTTGGCTTTAACCCCCAAAGGTAGAGGCTGCACAGCCTCTCTGGCCCCTCTCCCCCTGCTCCGCTGTCCTCGAGGCAGAAACTTTTCCTTTATATCCAGTCAGAGCCTTTGTTGTTTCAGCTTGTGTCTGTTCTCATTCTGAGCACAAAGCTTGGCCCAACCCTCATGGACACCTCCTCTTTGCAGGTACTGGGAGGCTGCTTTTAGCCCCCCCCAAAACATTCCCTTCTCCAGAGAAGGAGCCCCATTCCCTCTGCCTCCGTGCACAGGACGTGTGCTCCAGCCCCGATGGCCTTGGTGTCTCCCTGCTGTCCTTGCTCCGTGTCATCGACACTTTAAGGTCTCCTCTGGCAAGTTTGGAGAAAGGAGGACGAGTTTGGAGATGAGGAATGGCATCACCCTGCATCCTGCTGGTGGTGAGATGGCCCCAGGCTGGGTGGGGTTTGTGACAGAGGAGGACCAGCTGCAGGGATTTTGGCAGCTCATGGTGATGAGCTGCTGAGTGGACACGTAACCCTATGGCTTGTGCTGAGGGTTGTTCACAGCAGTGCCATGCTGTCACCAAATAAACGATCCAAGACAAATATGGGACCTCATGTTTGGTCTGTGGGATGCTGCTGAGCCATCTGGGCATCTCCAAAGGCTGAGTAAAGCAGCTCCTCATTTTCCATCCCTGAGGTGGGAAAGAGCAGCTTGATCTGTAGGAATGTAGGTGGGGAGGCAGATAAAGGACATGGGCTGGGTGACTTGGGGTTTGCAGTCACTGCTCCCTGGGGAGGGAGGCTGTGGGGAGGAGCCCATGAGGGTCAGGGAATACAGGAGAGTCCTGGCAGTTTGGTAACTCCCTCCAACGCAAAGGGAAACACTCCAACACACCCCAGGACACACTGAGCCAGGTTAAGAGCATCATTCTGCCCCCAGAAATTATTTTATTGCACCTTGAGCAGCAAGGATTCTGCCTTGACTCACTCCAGCACGTGGAGCTGGAGCCAGCCAGGAGCCTGCCCTGCAGGGATTTTGTGCTTATTTCTTGGCCTTCTTGCCCCCTCCCTTTTTCTTCGTCTCCAGCGTGAGGAATGTCTGGAACAGGCAGCTTTTCTGGATGTGGGTGTTGTGGCTGTACAGCTCAGGTTGTGACTGTATCCCTCCCATCCCACTCATTCTCCTGCTGTGTCCAGGAACAGCAGGTAAGCACAGTGTGTTTCTCCTCGAGGACAAGCCCTTTCCTGGGTGCAGACAGCACAAAGGACCTCTGGTTCAGCCTACCAAGGCAGCAGGTGCCAGTTCCTGCAAGCTTGAGGGCATTGAGCAGGTTCCTCCTGCACATCCCTACAAAGGGATCCTTTTACCTATCCTAGATCTGGGTAGAATTGCCCCTGGCTGCTGAACTGAGCCTTCCCAAGGGACCAAATGAAGGAAATGTGCCTGAACGGGACTTTTCAAGAGGTGCCAGGTCTAAATACTTTCATGCTCCTTTGAACCTCCCCCAGAAAGCCAAGGACAGTTGTGTTTGGTGGCACTCAGCAGAGGAGGAGGGTTAGGGGACCCAGCATTCCTGGGCCTGGTGCTCCAGCCACCTTTGGCAGGTAGAAAGCAAGAATAGCCTGATGTTAAAAGCTGAGAAGGTGAGTGAGGATCCTTGGGATTAGCTCCAAGCTCTCGGATCTTTCCCTACACTTCCCATTGTGGCAGTCTAGCACCTCTTCTCCACCTGGGTAAAAACTGGAGGGACATGGAACAACTGGGGCCTTCTCAGAAGAGGGGTTGGGGGTGAACCTGAGCCTGCTCAGCTTAATTTGAAATGTGGGCACAGTGATGTGCAACCTGTGAAGGCTGTGGGCTGGGAGAGAATCCGGGTGTGATTTGGACACTAGATGGAGACAAGAGGGTTGAGGATAGACAGAAAAGCAGGAACACTGTTCCCCAGCAGCAGGGGGATGAGTTGGATGCAGTGGAGTGAATCATCAGCCCACTGGGGTAACTGCCTCAAAATCTCAACAGCAGAGAACTGAACCAGTGCCATACTGGGGAGCTGGAGACCTTGAAAGGTGGAGCCTCTTAAAATGAAGAGAGATTTAATCTGAAAAACAAGTTGACAGGGCTTGTATGGCCAGTTTGCTCCTACTGTTGTGTTCAGGCTCCAAGGAATCAGCAGGGAAACAGTGTTGGTGAAATAGAAATGGATTTATATGGGTTGTTTGCATTTTGTTCTGCGATTCTCACTCACGTGGGTGCTTTACTGTTGCTCTGTTGTCTTGTTCTGCCGGGGCTGTGCAGCCCAGCACAAGAGCAAAAGCTGCTCCATTACTGCTGGGCCTGCCCTGCCTGCTGGAACTGGTGCCTGTGTGGAAAAAAACCATTAAATCTGTATAAAACAAGGCAGGAGGAATGTCCATTTTTTTCCTAGCTCCAGATCCACCCTGTCCAGTGTCACTGATGCAGGAGTTGTTGATACAGAGGCCTGAATCAAGCTGGGACTCCTGCCTGCTGCTGCTCTTATTTCTCTGTCTGTTCAGCACTGCTATAAATCTCACTTTCCACCTTTCACTCAGCCCTGGCTCCTTTGACTTGAGTCTCTCAGCAAAGTACCAGCTGCTCTGGGAGCTTCCAAAATCACCTGTGCCCAGCCCTAGGTGCTACAAACAACTATAAAAGACGATTTGGTGTGTGGGCAGTGTTACCTTTGCTCTGCTTGGCCCAGACCAGCTCCCTTGTTTCTCTACACAGACACCTGTGTGTGTGGAGATCTGCAGCAGCTGGTGTGCAGGCCCCTCCGACCTGGAACAGTGCTTTGATGAGCGGGTTTTGGTGCTGAGGCAGGGGATGGGGAGAAAAGGTGGTCCTGTGAAGAAGCTGCTTGCTTGGGGGTTGCAGTTGTGTTGCTGCAGGGCTGCCTTCCGATGAAGTCAGCAGAGTGCTGAAGTGGAGCAGGGGCACCCCAAAAAACAGCATGTGCACCCTGCCAGGAGCTGGCAGGAGCCAGGGGGTTGCCTGGCACGAGGAACAGCCTGATCTGCAGCACTACAACAGGTTTAATCTCCTGCAGGACCTTTCTGAGAGCCAGTGCTGCTTCTCAGTGCTCCTGTACAGGTGTGTGGGGTTGTGTCCCGTAGGTCAACACCTCTGTTGGGGAAGCCTGTGGCTCCCATTCCTAATGATGCATCACTTCCCGCTTGGTCTGGGATCTTGAACTTTGAGCCAGCTCCTGCAAGCTGTTGTTGGAATCTCACATCACACTGTCTTGGTAAATCCAGCCCTGGAGGGTGAAGGAAATACCACCGAGAAGGAGAGGGCACATCGAGGAATCAGGTGGGCTGCAAAGGTGGGGGTAGTTTAAGATTGGACAGCTTTGCTCTGATATCAAGGGGGATGCTCCAGCCGGACAGAGACTTTTCCTACCCATTCCTAACACTGACAGGAGTCCTGCCGGTGTCAAAATCCATTTCAGCCACCGGGCAGAACCTGGTGGCTTTACCACTAGGACTGGGCACAGAGGGACTGTCCTGGGGGCTGCCTGTGGGAGGAACGCTCAGCCTGGACCACTGGAACTGGTTTATTCATAATACAGGCTGCTCGCTTCCAGCTTGGGAATCCTCACCTCATCAGGCATGGATGGAATCCCGGGGCCTTGGGATGTGTGTCCCATGGTGGGGCCCTCACAGCACCTGCTCTATCCGCGGGGCTGGGCTGGGGCGTCCTCGGGGCCGCAATGATCCCTGCAGCCAACGGGAACTGGAACCTGGGAACAGGGACGTCCCTCTTGGAGCGGGGGGAACGGGGTGGCCCAGCCCAGAAGCTGGTGTGGGGGTCCCGGGGGGAGTGTCCTGGCCCAGCCTCGGAGCGAGAAGGGTCCCCGGGGTGGTTGTCCCGGTCCAGCCCAGGAGCGGGGGTGTCCCGGGAGAATCCCGGTCCGAGTTCCCCTCCAGGCTCCCCGGGCCGCTCCCGCCGTTGCCCGGCAACCGCTCCGCTCCCTCTGACCCCCGGGGGCGGGGCCTCAGTGCAGCCAATGGCAGCCCGCGATCTTCTCCCCGAGAGCCCACCCCCACCACCTCGGGCCAATCAGCGCCCCCGCCTGTCCTGAGGGACACCGCCGCTACCCAATGGCCAGGCGACATGCGCGATGGGAGGAGGAGAGAGGCGGGATCAACAAGGGTCCTCCCGCAGAGGGCGGGCCCGGGCTCGGCGCGCGGATTGGCGGGATATGCGAACGCTCCGCCCTTTAGGGCGGGGCCGTGAGCGAGGCAGCCAATGGGGAGGCGCGGGGGGCGGGGCCGCGCGCGCGGGGCGCTGAGGAGCCGCGGTCGCTGCGGGCGCCGGTTCGGAGGGGCCGGGACGGGCCGGGGGGTCCCGGAGGGTGTTCGGGGGGCTCGGGGTGTCCCGGAGGGTCCCGCGGGCACGGGGGGCTGGAGCGGAGCCGGTTTACGCGTGGGTGAGGGGGGCAGCGGGGCCGGGGGGGCTCGGGGAGGCGGCGGGGCCGGGCCGGGCTCCGTGACAGCCCCGTGCCCGTGTCCCTCCCGCCGGGCAGGGGCAGCTTGTGTGGGTTGTCCCCGCGGCGCTGCCCTGGGCCTGCTTGATTTTTTTCCTTTCCCCGTCACCTTTTAGAGAAACCCGTGACCTTGTGGGGCATCGCGCAGTTAAAAATATCCCACGGGAACTTCATGTGTGCGGACTCCAAGCGGCCTCCGGGGCTCCCTGTTTCCCGTCCCCAGCTGGGACCGAGGCGTGCGGGCTCGTCGGGGGACAGAGCCATGTGTGACGGGGACACTTAGCACCATGCTGGCTCCGGATGCGACAACTCCCGCTGCCCCTGGTGCCGAGGGGTCAGGAGTTTGCCAGGGAACGCTTTTCCTGCTTCCCTGCTGCCCTGCGCTGGCTGGGATAGACAGCCCGGACCTCGCTTTTTGAGTTCAGCTTTGGCATAAATACATCGAGCCCGGCGTCCTGCGTTTTGCTTTTTGGAAAGCAGATAACTCGGTCTCCTTTTGGAACTGTGGTCTCCAGAGATGGGCGCGTGTAGTGTTATGTCCCTGTGTCCAGAAGACAGCCCCGATGGACGACTTTCCCGGGATAGGTTTTGACACAAGCGTTTCACAAGTGGGACTGCAAAAGGCGTTATTTAAAGCTCTGGGAGCTGCAGCCTCTGGAGGGACGGGATGGCTGTGAGCATGGACGATGACGTTCCCCTCATCCTCACCCTGGACGACAGCGGGAGCACTGCCTCAGCCCCTCTGGATGACCTGGATCGGGAGGAGCTGCCTAACGAAAGTAAGATCCCTTTGTCATTCCCTGCCCACTTGTCTGTCTCTTTTGTGGTGGCTGCTCTTCCCGGTGCTTGCCAGGGCCTGAAACTCTCGGAGTTGTCTCTCGGCATCCCGGGGCTGCCTGAGAAAATCACATCAGGCAGTTGCTGCTTGTGTTGGTTGTTTGCTCACAGCTCCATGTGACGCTGAATGGGCTGGATGGGTCCTACCAGTGCTGTTTCTAGCACACATTTTTGGGTTTCTGTGTGACCTTAAGCCCAACCCTTCTCCACGTTGTCCCTGAGCATTTCCTTCCCTTGGCACTGCCCCACTGCAGT